TCTCTTTGTCACAGCACTAAACACAGAGGCTGGCCTTTAGTACTTGTTTCTGTGTTAGCTGCAGTACTCAGCAGTGTCATCTGCCTCGCATTTGCTACACTTCAGAAAAACCTGGACATCGAGTCCAGAAAGAAACTCTATGTATATGATATGAATTTTTATTCTAGAGAAACTTTGATGAAATGCAAACGCTTACAGCTAGTTGAAATGTACAGTGCTTGTGTTAAGTACCAAAACATATTTTATTTCACCGTTTTTTTTCCAGGGCAAATCGAGTTCATCTGTACCGTGTCTGGATCGGGCTGTTGGACACAATACTGTATGACAGAGAGACAGATACTTTCAGACTAAAACAACTGATAATCCATGAAAATTATAATACATCAACTTACGAAAATGACATTGCTCTGCTGGAGCTGAGAGGTTATGGGAAAGGAGAATGCTCCCTGAAATACAGCACACCTGCCTGTATCCCCTGGTCAAAGTATATGTTCAAGGCTGGTGACAGATGCAAGGTTTCTGGATGGGGACTAGAGAAAGGTATTTGCTTTAGTACTTACTACAAGAATGTACTGTATCAGTCGTTTTCTAATCGTGGCGAGCTTTCATTTTGAAAAGGCTGAAGAGTGGTTGTGCACAAAGCACTCGGAAGAGGCTGAGTACAGAAAACGTAGGCTGTGGTTCAGCATCTGGCTATCACTGTTGGTTCTCTTTTCTGTACCGCTTCCTCTGCTGTTTCAGCCACTTAGTAAATTGATCTGGAGGACACCCCAGGTTGAAAACTACCCCGACAATAAGAAATGTTCCTTTTGCCAATCTGAGATTTATATTAGCTGTGGAGACCTGGTAACGATATTTAACAAGCGGCAGTTAGTAGCTCACAGTGGCCCATAGTCACAGCCCGTCCTCTGTCCCCTGCCCAAGAGGATTTGAGCTGCAGCCAACAGTTAGGAAACTTGGCACATCTTGTCTCAGCCGTGTTTGAGTTTAACCCGGAGAAGGTTGCACAGAGACAGATAAGCCAAGTGTAATCACGCTTTCAAAGATTTGGGAAGCATTTCTTTTGTATCACAGTGATTACGGCCTGGCGTTGGAGCTACCGCATACTGGTTGCGAGGCTTCTCCTCTCCATACTCAGTAGCAGTCCATAAAGCAAATGCAAAGTTGGGAATTACTAGCAAACAGACAGAGAACAAAACAGAGAATCTCCTTAACCTTGTGAATACATAGTTCACCTGTATCTTCAATATCTGGTCCACTCATCCCAAAACGACAGAGTAGAATTGGAAAAAAGGTAACGAGGATGATGAGAGCCACATCTCCATTTCATAGAAAACAATATACCAGTTTCCCAGTGTCTGAAAACCTTGATATGGAAAACGCAGAAAAAAAACTGAGGAACACAAGGAAAGGGAAAGGGTGAAAATGTCACAAAATGAAAGTACTGTATTTAACACTGCAGTTGAACTACTCTGCTTTTATATGGGCAGTGTACTGCAATTCATCTGGGGTAAGTGTTAGTGGCAGTTTAAGGTCTCTGGTTTATAATATTGAAGATTATATTCTGTAGATAAGCAAATATGTAACTTTCAATTTATGATATTAAAAGTGTCTAATATGTACTTACCATTTTTTATTTAGAAAAGTTTATTCTTTTCTTTTCTAGGTTATACCAAACAATATATCCTCAAGTGGGGCAATGTTAATTTATTTCAGAATTGTTCTGAATTGTATCCAGGACGATTTTTTAAACAAATGGCATGTGCAGGCAAGCACCAATTTTCTTATTATAATTTCTCTACCATCAAACCCACTGTTTATAAGGCCAGACATACTGGCTGGGAATCTTTTAGACTTGTGAAAGACAATAAACTGATTGCCACGGTATCACCATTAGCTAGCCATTGGAGCCTAGATGCATCCAGCATTATATATCTATTTATAAACAGAGTTAAGATGACAGTATGCCAAGTTTCTATGATTATGTGGGCAAATTTCAGCATGCAGTTTGGGTTAAGTTTTCTAAATACACAAGCACTTTACAGCCCACTGAACTTCCTACCTTTACTATATTTGATTCTGATTCAGCAACATATTTAAGCAAATGCCTGTCTTAGAGCACATCAGTAGTCCTGTTGACTAGAATGTGACTATTCATCTGCTTAGAAATTTGCCTCTACCACACTGCACGCCAGGAAAAATACAGTTAACTTTTCAAACTAAGATTAGTCTGGCCAGGAAACTGGTTGTCACTCCTAGTACTAAAATAAGGATTTTGAATACACATTTTGTGCTTCTCAAGTAACAAAAGGTATTGCCAAATACATGACTAAAAGAGCAATGAGTATTCAACTTACGGGACAGATAGTTTCAAATGTTCTTTAAATCAAAAAGTAAAGGCAATATTTAAACAAACTCCTTAATGAGAAAAATAAAAACCGGATATAAAAGCCAAATAATTTGTGATAAATTCAGCATGACATCTATAAGATACTGGGTTTGTCTACTGTGCAAGTTCCGTAACTTATCTCCTTGATCTTCAATGTATTTCAAGCGATCATACTTTACCAGGAGGGAACAAAGACAGGATCACATGGGACAACATCGGAAAAGGGGTATCTGGGGTTAGCCTCCCCTCCCTGATGCAAATACAAGCTTTGGCTAGTATCCACAGGAGGTAGTTATACAAGCAAATATTAATTAAACTGAGTAAAGGCAATAAAATCTTGTTTTATAGGATTAGTAATTCCAATGCTGAAAAGTTCACAAAACTCTTTCTCAGTAATGCAGAGGTTCAAGAAAGAGGTTACATTTTTAAAAACTTGGAGACTCATGCTTAGTATGGGTTCCTTCACACTAGGTCAGTCAACCAAACAGAAAAGTGTAGTAAGGGTGTTAGAAATCAATAAACTTTTACTGAATATATAGGACAAAGCATAAGTCATATTCTAGCTCTGTAGCAGTGCTTCTGTTTCTATCGCATCCTTCACTCTTAATTCATTTTTTCACAAGCGCTATATTAGCTGAATTGCAAACAAGTAGTTCCGTGAGCACTGAAATTTAGAAAGGGCGCTGGATCTTGTGCCTCAGGGCCACTATCTGGTGTTGCAAAAGGTCCACACTGTGACCGGGACCTCGCAGTGAGGGCGCTTAACAGAGAGTTGCTCTCCCTCCCATCCCAGCATTCACATGCTCTCCTTCTTGTACCTGCCCACCTATTTTCATAAAGCTGGTAGAGAAAAGAATTTCGAGGCCTCTGCCTCTCTGTACAGCTCTGTACAGATGAAACTGGCCAATGAATTATTGGGTAGAGACGACACCAAAGGCAGACACGTAGGCATACATATATTACGGTAGCTTCATTTCCATAGGAATCAGCCTACAAACCTTTTTACCTTCTTCCTCCCGCTTTTGTTGACTTTTTATGAGCTGCTACTAATGATATAATAGGCAATACGGCTGAATTCGTCTCTATTGCATAGGGTAAAACAAGACTCACATCACTGACATCAAAGCAAATGAGGAGGATTTGGGCCAGCCACAAATGTAAAGAGAGGCCCCGCACTTAAAAAGAAACGAGCAGTAATAGACCGAAGAGGTTAGGAACCGCCTTTACTGGTGACCATTAGGCAATCATCTGTCAGGAAGCAACATGGACCTGAAAAACCTCCTGAGCTCTGTTTTGTGTGCTAGCTTGTATATGACCTTATTTTTCCTTTTTATTTCCTCTTTTGCTTCAGGTACTTATGATGGCTCCATAGACAGTTGCAAAGGTGATTCGGGAGGACCCTTGGTCTGTTTTGATGCACAAGATGTGGCGTATGTCTGGGGTATTGTGAGTTGGGGTGAGAACTGCGGGGAGGCTGGTCACCCTGGCGTGTATACAAAAGTCGCCAGCTATTATGATTGGATTAGCCATCATGTGACAAGGAGTCTCATTTCACGGTATAATATCTGACGCTTGGAAAATTAAATACTTCCTTCTTATCACCCATGCAAAAATGAACACTAGTCCTTTTTTACAATCAGCAGCCATGTAACTTAGCAACAATTAGTACAAATGTTTAAAGAATATATTCTGAAAATTCTTAGCGCTCTATGAATACCAGAATTTTGCAGAAGCCTGTAGGAAGATAATTTTACAGTCACATGAGTCCGCAGCAAAAGTCTCTAATAAAAGCAGGGAAATTAAAATATCTTTTTCTTGTTGTTACTTTGGTTTTTTTCCACGTTTCACATTGCATTTCAATTGCGGTTGTTTATTTAATTTAAAAAGCAGTGGTTGGAAAATGACTGCGCTGGCAGTATGTGAACTTCACGGAAAGGACAGCAACCAGAGTACTTTAAAGAACTTCCATCATCTCAAGGTCTAGGTCACTAGAAACCGTCAGGATGGTGCCTTGCTTGGCAGTTGATTCCTTGGGCTCACTGCAAAAGTCGACTTCAGCCCATCTATTAATTGGCAGATTGACTATGATCATGAGATTTGTTGTAATGCAACAATTACCCAGATAATAACTGTTTGGCGGTAGTTTTTTCAGCTACAAACTCAGACAATTTTTATCTAGTTAATATACCTCATCTGATCATCTAGTTGGGGCAATTTTTGTAGCTCTAAGTTTTATTAATTTAACTGCAGCTGGTCACAAACAACAAAGGAATTTTAAAACTTGAACCTTCAACTTAAATAAAAAGCATCTTTACTATCTTAAGTTCTCTGTGTATGTATATATACATTTCTGGTATCCAACAAACTCTTGACATCAAATAGGGTTTTACCACGTGTGTGTATATATCTATATATTTATACACACACACACAATTTATGTAACAATATGTAAAAATTAAAAGTCTATCTATTATACATAGACTTAATTCTACAAAACCAAGTTACAGATGTAAAGTTACAAATTAATACTGTCAGTCATAAATCCCCCCCCCACCAGATTCTCAAATTAGCACAGGCTTCCTACACCAATATACAGAAGCATGAAACAGTAATGCCAGGAGAGAACATCCAGGGCCTGATCCTGCAACATGCAGTCAGGGGAAGTTTTGCTACTGCCTTAACTGACCCAGAACTGGCCAAAGAGAAGGGGCCATCAACAAAACTGGAACGATTAAGCAGAAAATCCTTCTGCTTTCACCAGTCCTCGTGAGGAAGTTCTGCCCACATGATAATCAGTAAGCACAGCCCAAAGGACCACTACGTAAGCTATACATTTTTAGACAGCAGTAATGGTGCCTGCTATAAGAAAATGTCGGTCTATCCCTAATAGTCTCACATTCAGCAAGAGTTATGCACAGAAAGTGTGCATAAAATTTTTTAGAAGTACTAGAATTTGGTTTGTGGATTGGTACCCTTGACACAAACCCGTCAAATATCTTCAGGACCACCTCGGTCAGTTCTATCAAACTGCTCAATAGTTTTAGAACATACTTCACTGTATTCTAATTTACAAATGTTTTTAATATCTATTTTACTTTAGTCCTCTCAATCAATTATCCTGTTGAATAAATGACCTATGTTCACACAACACAGTTGTTGTAGTGGTGTTTTTTCTATAATTCACCATAGTCTGCTTCAGACAACATTTTTACATTTTCACGGACTTTTCTTCATCTTCCAGTCTTGTAAAAAACCCACGTCAGCACGAATTTGTCATGTAAAGACATTGTCAATCACCAATAACTAAAGTAAGGGTATGAATTGCTTCCCTTAACCCCCCCCCCAACAAGGCTTGCTATTTAGGAAAGCATTTAAGTATATTCCTACACAGGAATTATTTTCCTGAATTGGGATCTTTGTAAAGTAATCACAGGGAAAAGCTGGACAGGTGTAGGAAGAGCTCCCTCTTTTGTTTGACTTACTAACTTCTGTAAAGAACTTTTTCCACCTATTTCTTCAGTTATTTACAAATACTATTAAATGCTGAGGCTGAAAAGAAAAAACACAGTAGAATATTTACCATGTACCTTTCTGCTCTGCCTGTTGATCTGGAAGTCTCTCGGTTTTCCTTCCATTTCCTGTTCTTCTTTACAGTTAACTTTGTCCTGAAGCCCTATATTACTGTGTTCTGAGGGATTCCACACGTCTTAAAACACGTCTTTTTGTAATTTTCATTACAAAAATTAAAACAATTTCCACATGGTTCCACTTCAGCTCACCTGTGAAGCATCTAGAATTTAAATATAAAATTAATAAAAATTTTATAATTAAAAAAACCCCACAAAACAAACAGGATGTTTAGCAAGCGAGTTCATTTTGGTCTGGTTTTTCTTTTCAGCAAATCAAGACTGGGCTTTTAATGTTTAATAGGGATACTTTCATTTTGCCCTCTTTTACAACCCTGTCTTGCACATTTGATGATGTTGCCTGAAACTGAATCACTCACATGTGTAAAGGTCACTGGATCAGTTTCCTTCACATTGAACGTCATCATAAAATCAGGTTAAAATTTTAACACTTCAAGTACATATTCCCCCCTGCATTTTTTTGACTTCTAGCTCGTTTAGAATACCAGTTCTCCCAGACGGCACCAAAGGAGAGCAGTACGCGGCTTTGGGCACGCTCCTCCCATAGGCAGCGTTTGCTCTGAGCCACCACGCTAACCAAGCCCCGGCGCGGCTGGCACCAGACCTGCTCCTCCTTCCGCTCAGCCCCGCGGCCGCAACATCTCCACGGCGGGCTAGAAAAATCAGCCTTTCTGTCTTCCCTCCAAAATGCTACCGCCGTCTCTTCCACATTTACCAGCGCCAAGTTCACTGCTTCTAACACGGTCATCAAGTTAGGGTTTTCCAACTAAGACGCCCTGGGGTTCCATATTATCCGATAGCGCCGGTTCCTCCCAGGGCCCTGCTGAGCCAGCGCCACCGCGCCATACGAAGTGGCAGCCAGCTGCTCTCCCGGTCTGTGCCTGGACAGGTCTGGAAAAGGTCCCCCCACGGAACAAGGGGCACCGTGACCGGCTGGAGGCGGCGGCGCTCCTCCTCTTGAAACAGCCCGCGTTGTCACGGGGTAGGTGCTAGGCCGCGTTTTGCAACGCCGCCTCCCACCGTCTGCAGGGGGGGGTGAAAGGCTCTGCCCGACTTTCCCCCCTTCCCCCCTCAGAGCCATCGCCGATTTTTCTCTCTAACCCACCCCAGCCCCCCTCTCC